TTAAAGCCCTAGTCCTAATGTATTTGGAGTTGGAAGTTTGGAAAGCAATTAGGTTTAGATAAGGTCATTAGGTAGACTTCTCCTGATGGGATTAGTGCTCTTCCAAGAAGAGATCAGAGTGGCTCTGCTATATGAAGACACAGCAAGAAGAAAGACTTAGTTCTCTGCAGACCAAAAAAGCTTGTGCCCCATACTTGACCATCTGGTACATCTCAGATTTCCTGGATCTCTAGACTTGAGAAAGCAACATGTCCTATTTAAGCCACCCAGTGTAGGTATAATGTTATAGCAGCCTGAGCTCTTTCTTCCCCACTGCTATGCAGTATTGTACTCAAGTTCTAGCTAGAGCAAGTAGACAGGAAATTGGATAAGAATTAGTAAATTTTTCTAATCACAAATGACATGATCCTACTTATAGAAAATTTCAAAGAACGTACCAGAAAGCTACTAGAACTAGTAAGTTCACAAAGTTTGCAGGATAAATTCAGCACAAAAAAAAAAATCAGTTTTGTTTCTATTCACTGCTATGGATAATCTGAAAGAAAATTAAGACGATTCTGTTTACAGTCACATTTAACAATATAATACCTAGGAATAAATTTAGTAAGTTTTCCTGAGGAGATTGGAAAATCTAAATATTACAATGTCAGTATTACCCAAAATAATCTACAGAGTCAAGGGAAACACCATCACAATCCCAATAGCTTTAAAAAAATAGGGAAAGCTGATCTTCAAATTCATGTGAAATTTTAAGGTATACCTCAAGGAACCAAAACATTCCTGAGAGAGAAGAGCAAAATTAGAAGCACACACTTTCCAGTTTTAGAATTTATTACAAAGCTACAGTAACCAAAACAGTGTGGCACTGGCATAAGGATATCATATCCACCAATCAAGTAGAGTTGCAAGTCTGGAAATGAACCCGAATGTCTATGGCTAGTTGAGTTTCCATGAGAGTACCAAGTCTATTCAGTAGGACCAGGATAGTGTCTTCAACAAATGGTGGTGGGACAAGTTGATTTCCACATGAAGAAAAGAATGAAACTGGACCCCTGTCTCACACAATGTACAAAAATTAAGTCAAAATGAATTGAGCTACTCTTTCTCAAGCCCAAGGTTTTGTCAACATCTGAGAAGATAGAGTGGAAAATATTTTATTCTAAAAGAGTAGATTCTTGCTGGGTGCTGGTGGCTAATGCCTGTAATCCTAGCTGTTTGGGAGGCTGAGATCACTGGCATTGAGGTTCAAAATCAGCCTGGGAAAATAGTTGTTGAGACCACATCTCCAAAATAACCAGAGCAAGATGGACTAGAGGAGTGGCTCAGCCTGCTTTGCAAGGGAGAAGTCCTGAGTTCAAACTCCAGTTCTGCCAAAAAAGAAAAAAAAGATTCTTTTGGAAGAGGTGGAGGGGAAAACTGCAGAGTACAAAGGATTTTTGGGAATTAACTGGTTGAAGACAGGAAAGAGTGTCTGTGGTTGTGTTTCCCTAGAGAATATAGGGCATAAAAATTATTTTGTGTTACCATTTATTTCTGACCCTTTGGCTACAGCGCAGAGTGACTCTCTTCTGTATACAAGGTTTTCTGTGCATAGAGGACAATTAGTAAGTGGGCAAACTGTTGTGGAAAGTATCTGAAAGACTACTAGAACTTAAATTTGTTTCAAGGAAACATAAACATGAGACCCTTATAAAGCAAAAAAGTGCTGGGGCATGGCTCAAGTGGTAGGGTGCCTGCCTACCAAGCACCATGCCCTGAGTTCAAACACCATTACAAAAACAAAATTAAAACAAAATAAACAACCAAAAAAAAAACCCACAACTGTATGAAAGTAATAAAATTAGCAATGAAGAGTTGTTAAAGAAAATTTGGGCTAAAGGTGTATGTAATTCAATGGTGGAATGGTTGCCTAGTGGTTGCCTGGGTTTGATCATCAGCACTGTTGAGGAGGGGGAGAATATTCTTCTTAATTTTAACCTGCTACATAATGGCATTACTGGGCAGCTACTTCAGAAAAAGTATGATAAATAATGCCTTCTGCATATGTTATGCTCTTAAGAATCCTCTTATGTTTTAATTTAAAATAGAACATTTTCTGTGTGATTTAAATTCTCCTTGTGAATGAAGTGGTATGAATGGCATATGTCATTTCTGCTAAAGAATTACTACAGACTTTCTACAAACCACTGTGGTTTCTAATCAAAATGCTTTAATTTACATTGATGTTAGCATTAAGGAGTGCTTCTCAATTGGTAGCATAGAAAGAAATCATTTTGACACTTACTGGGAGCTCATAGAAGCCTGAGGTTTTAAAGTGCTTTCCGTGGGCCATTTAACTGCTGGCAACTTTAGTTCACATGATTCATAATACTGGAAATTTAAATTCACTCTAAATTGAGAAGTGAAGTTACTTAAATTCCTTAAATGCTAACCTTTGGAAAAATATCTGAAAAATAAAGGCCCATATGATTTTGGTGGCCCACTGCCAAAGATGATCATTTACATAAATACGTCTTTTAGTGGAAGAGTTCAATGCGCTGAGCTCAGAAGGTTGGAATAGAGACTTCAGTCTGGAAGCCAGTGCAGACGTTGGCTTGTGAGCGGCAGCACCGTCCTGGTGTTGAGAACACTGCTGGTATTCAGGCTCAAGCAGTGGGGGCATTAAGATTCAGTTAATTTGTTTCATGTGACTTGTCAGCTGTGTGTTTTTATCTAAATCTTTCCAGCCTCTCTCTTATGTTAAATTCCTGAAATAGAGGAACTACCTTTTTAACTGTTTCAGGTCTGATATAGCCTGACCACTTGTGCAAGTGATGCTGCACAGTAATTCTCCAGGTTTTCCATCTTAGTTTAAATATGTTTAATAATCAATGTGAATGCCATTTTACTTTATTGTGGTTAATCCTATTTCAGAGAACTTTCCTGTTTAGTCCATGTGTGTGAGTCTGTAAGATGACTTCCTGAAATCCATAAAGACAAACTGCAGTCCTTGTTTTCTCATCAGCACCCTTTTCTTTTCTTGTTTGATAATTTTGTTCTCTGGATTTTCCCTTAGGTGACTTTTCCTTTTTTTTTTTCCCGGTGCTGGGGACCGAACTTAGGGCCTTGCACTTGCCAGGCAAGCGCTCTTCCACTGAGCTAAATCCCCAACCCCCTTAGGTGACTTTTAATTTTTGGCTACCATCCAAGAACTGGGTCTCAGCAGTAATGAGCTGGTCCCAAAGAAACAATGTAATGTAATGCTACTACTATTAAAGTAACATTCTCATTTCCCTTCTGAAAGTCTTACCAGTCCTCTAGGATGGTGCTCACATATTCTTGAGGTGCTCACATATTCTTGAGTAATTGGAACGTGTTCTGAAGACAGCTCCAACAACTACAAAATAGCTTTTTGAGGAATAACTAACATAGAGTAACTGCCATATTTAACTTGTGCAGTTTCACAAGTGTGTCCAGAAAATCATCATCCCGATCAGGAGTGTGAGGATACATATCGCCTCCACAAGTTTCCTCCTTGTACTCACTCCGTCTTTGTGGCCCTGTTCTCCACATCCCCAGTGTTACAGGCAACATTAACGCATCTATAAATTGGTTTCATTTCCAGTTGTATATAAATGAAAAAGAAACGCACTGAGCACCCTCTGTCGGCTGGATTCTGTCCCTCAGGGTTTATCATGAGACTCATGCACATTATTGTGTGTATCAGTAGTTTACTCTTTATTTCTGTGTGGATGTATCATCACGCAGTTATCCATGCATCTGTTGGTGGACTGTGTTGTCAACAGTTTTCACATCTACCTGCCGTCTTTTAACTTCTCTTTCGTGTTTTTCATCCTTTTAGCTCTCGTTTTTTCTTTTTTTTTGTGATACTGTGGTTTGTACTGAGGGCCTCTTGCTTGCCAGGCAGGTGCTTTAGCACTTGAGCCACACCCCAGTCCTCTTGTTTGCAGCCTCAAGTCAGCACATTGCCTGGATCTAATAGGGTGAATCAAGGGAAATTGTCAGCATTTGACAGTTTTGACTTGCAGAAACAGCCATTTTATATAGTTCACCATCTTACCACGTTTTAAATGAATGAACATTACTTATTTTACATTCAAGAATCTCTGCTGATACAAAAGTGTTTTCTAGCTCTTTGAACTCAACTATGTAAGAAATTACACATAATAAAAGAGTTACTGATACAACTGTGGCTCACACCTGTAATACCAGCTTCTTGGGGAGCACAGAAAGAAGGATCGTGGTTCAAAGGCAACCTGAGCAAAAGTTAGCAAGACTCTATCTCAGAAGAACAACGCAGGTGTGGTGGTTCATGCCTGCAATCCCAACTGCTTGAGAGGCAGAGGTAGAAGGGTCTCCTTCCAAGGCTGGACCCAGGCAGAAGCAGAAGACCTTACCTGAAAAATAACTAAATCAAAAAGGACTGGGAAATGGCTCACGTGTTAGTGCAGAGGCTCTGAGTTCAAAGCCCAGTAGTGCAAAAATAAAATTAATTGAGGGATACACTGTATTAGTAGTCATTGTGTCTGCTTGGTAGAAGTGTACATTTTTTCCCAGTCTACTCTACTGTGTTTGGTCATGTATATGTTTATGTAGTAAGCATATATTGAAAATCATGAGCTTCAGGACTGTTCGGTGTCTTTGCTGGCTGTGTGACCTTGGGCAAACTTTTGTGAGGCCCACTGTCCTCGTCTGGACAGTAATACCTTACCTCTTCATCACTGAGCGGTAACCACTAGTATGTGACACATCGGGCGTATGTGTTACTCTCCTTCCTGTTTCCCAGTCCAACCTTGCCTCGACTAAAAGGCAGTATAGTTCTTACCTCACTCATCGTTACTTTAGTAATTTTTTCACTATTCTACATTTTTATTTCTTTTAAAAATATTTTTAAATGAAGGCAAGGTGTGTAATATGTTTATAAGTAACAGGTTTTAAGTTATGCAGCATTTGACTTTCTAGTAAGACTACTGACTTTTTTCACTATTTCTTATTTGAAGAATATCAAAGAATATTCCAACAACTAAAGATGTTGAGCCACTGCTTGAAATTGATGGAGATAAAAGAAATTTTGAAGTGTTTCTTTCTTCAAGGACCCCAGTTCTTGTGGCTCGAGATGTGAAGACGTTTCTGCCGTGCACTGTAAACCTAGATCCCAAACTACGGGAGATTATTGCAGGTGGGTGTGAGGAGTAAACTCAGCTTTTCTTCTCTAAAGTCCTCAGAAGTGTCTTGTTGTGTCTATGCTCCGTGGGGAAAAAGTGAGAAAAGAAATCTGAGCCAAACATTCCACAAGAGAATTAATGAAATTAAGAACTAGGAGTCTTGACATCCTTTTTGGGAATGTTAAGAAAATACTGCCTGTTAAATTCTCTTTATTACAATCTCCTCATCACCCCACTAAATTCTTACTTTGGAAGTTTGAGCTCAGATCTCTCTTAACATATGGTTATGATTTTCAGATGCCAATCCATTGTAATTCTCCTATCAGCAGTCTTCTGTTCTTAATAGGTGTCTCTATCCAGAGGATAGAGACATCCAGGGTCTCAGCACAGGGAAATGATGAGTGTTTGAGGAGATGGGTATGCTGATGTCCCTGATTTGATAATTGTACAATATATGCATCTGTTGAAGCCGCACATTGTTCCACATAGATAAGTACAATCAGTATGTGGCAATTTAAAACCATAGCTGCTAGCACATTCTCTTTACAGGTACCTGTTACAACGTCACATAAACCTGATGCTTTTTTGGCTGTGGACTCTGTCGTTCAGAGGTGGCTTTGCCTTATAATTTGCAAGCCTACAGTTTTAGTTCACATTGTTTGTACTAATGCTAGACAGGTTTGAGTTTTTAGAGTTGGATAGTCTGGTAAGTGAAGAGAAGAATCCAGATATTGATGACTTTTCAAATAGTGAGAAAAAACTTTTATCATAATAGTTGGACTTTTTTCACAAAACAATCTATGGAGTGTCAAGATTTCCTGTCAACTTCTGTAATGCAATTGGAATGCCTGGCAAGAGTGATGCAATTTATGTTTCTGAATCATAGCTCAGGCCAGAAAGGTGGCTACACTAATCACCACTGTCCCGTTTGCCTTCTGGGGTGTGCTGGGATGTCTCAGATGTCCGCGCTGCAAGAGAGCAGATCAACATAGGAGGCCTTGCGTATCCCCCACTCCCTCTGCATGCAGCTGCTCCTCGGGCCCCAGCAGGGTGCAGTCAGCCCCCTTCTGTCTGCTCTTCCTCCACGTCCTTCAGCGGGCCATTCACAGGGGCGCTGGTGTCACCGCAGCAGCCTCACAGCAGCTATTACAGCGGCATGACGGGCCCTCAGCATCCCTTCTACAACAGGGTAAGGAGGGGTGCATCTCTACTTTCCAGAATTCCTTCCGAGGAGAGGTCATAAGTGTTTTGCTTGTGAATTCTATTACTGTTTCGAAGCTATACTTTGACTTTAAAATAGAAAAATGGAAAGGGTATGATCTTTTTAAAATTAAGACTTTTGACTTTTTAGCATATTCTCGAGCTCTAAGGTGTCTGAATGTTAGCGGTGTTTTTACTATTTATTTTCATGACACGTTCAGCAGTAACCATCCTTTGCTTTAAAGGAATCCATTTCTCTTTTGTTTGTTCTTTTGGCATATCTTATACAGTAATTTGTATTGGCATTTACTTTAATGATCAGCTTAAGTTCTTTTAGTAGTTCCTTATATATAGACATAATTTATGTCTTTTAACTTTGAGATAATAATAGGAACGTTCTGCTTGGAGGACTCAGATGTTCTCAGTTAATACTGCTATAACCCATTCTTAGAATTTTAGTTTACATTGTCATGTATAATTGTTTACTTAATACACATCTACAGTTTGGTAAATAAAAGGTGACAACACAATTACCAGTGATTTTCAGACCCTGTTAGGTTCAGTTACCTGAAGGTATCTAGTCTCATTTTCATGACCTTAAATGCTAACATCTCTTACAGGAAAATGGAGCAGGAACCACGGTATTAGCTTTGTGGAGCTGTACTCTTGGATGCATTGCAATTTCTTAATTTTGTTGTCTCCCTATTCAGTTTAATTCAAGCAAACACAGGGGCTGGCATTCATTGAAGCCAGCTGCCTAGCCTACATGAATTTCATATGAGCTGGTAGGAAAGAGTAGATTAGAATAAATGTGGCAAAGAAAGAATTGCAGAACTTAAATTGAGTTTTTAGTTTTTGAAACATGTTGGCCATATTAGTAACTAAATATACCACTCATAGAGCTGAAGGAATGGTATTCTGTTTTTCCATTTGGACCAGGGAGAAAGGTGGAACAATAGCATTTGTATTTTATCCTTATAAAATGATATTTTTGGTAGATGTGTGAAATGCAGATTTTTATTTACCAGACTTAAAATCTGCTGTAATTGTACCGAAGATGCTTTATACAACACCAGTCGAAGTTTTGAGCACAACACATTTATTGCCAGCCCTTCTAGGCTGAGATGTGTGTCCACTAATTTCATGAATAACACTAACAAGATAATGCTTTAATTGCATTTTAGTGTTTTTTTAAATTTTTAAATTTTCTCTTGTTCTTAGCTCCAGTGATTTTTTGCTATATATCTTTAAGATTTTTAGTCTTCCGGTAAAAGCAGCCTAACTCTCTTAAACTGTCAGGGGTAAAACAGGTGAAAGAAGTTGCTACCTCATAGTCTACTGCTATATACTTAGCCCATATAATCTGGTATATGAGGCTGGTTAGAAGTAAATGCTACAGTTAGTTGTAAGTCCTATGTAATCAGTGGCTTCCCGTGCTAGTTTTTAAAAGTACATTTGCTCATTTAAGGTATAGAGCGCACTCTATAGAGTATCAGGATAAACTCCTGGAATTCTAGCTGGGGTGTTCCCATGTGATCCAAACTTTTTGGTTCTGATTTAGATCATTCTTTATTTGTAAGGAATAGTATTTTAGTAAGAGTGCAGACTGCTTTTTAAAAAGAGACTATGGCTTAATATGTGCAGATCACTTAGAAACTCACATACACCAAGCTTATAAATATGTAAAGTGTAAAGGGAAACATTTGTGTCAAAATGTATGGTGCAAAATGTTAGTTGCTTTAAAAAAACAAGCTTATATTAAATGAACAATATAAAAACGTGAATAATATATCTTAAGTTTGGGTTTGCTATCTTACAGAATATGAGGGAGGCTTCTTTATTCTTTTGTTTTGTCACTTGTTTTAAAAATTTTGGAATTGTATTTGATTGGTTAGTTTCATTTGATGAATCGCATCACACTTTAATTTCTGTAATTGTTCACGCCCTTTTTTTGTTACGTGTTTCTCCATAGCCATTCTTTGCCCCATACCTTTACACGCCAAGGTATTACCCTGGCAGTTCCCAACATCTCATCTCACGTTCATCAATAAAACCGAGTTTGCCCAGAGATCAGAACAATGGCCTAGTAAGTATATACAAGGGTAACTAAAGTGTTAATCTCAGAAACATGGATAGCATTAGAAAATGGGTTTTCCTTTCCAGAGGAAAAGAGCACAACTTATTTTATGAATAGTTTTAAGAAACAAAGCTACTACTAACATAAAATGTATATTGTCTTCATTTCCGGTAAATGTCTATGGAGGGAAAATGGCCAGCACACACTCATTAAGTGTTGAGTTCTTTACAACTAGAGATAATCTGCTTCTAATGTAGTAGTGTTTATTACCAATACCTTAAAAATGAACCTTTATGTCTGCTAATTTCTAATATCTTTTAAAGGAAATATCATATATGGTATCGTGTATGTGTGTGTGTGTACAGAAGATGAAGCCAGGTGTGGTGGTACATGCCTGCAATCCAAGCACTGGGGAGGCTGAGGCAGAAGGGTGGTGAGTTTGAGGCTAGCCTGAGCTACATCATGAGGTCCTGTCTCAATGAAGACGAAAAGAGGTTTAGTTAAAAAAAATTTTCAGTTTAATGGCACCAGTTAAACAGGATAAGAAGAAATCATTTAATTAATTACTCCAAAGAGAAACACATTTGTGCCCAATATATTAATGGTTCCTGATGAGAAACTTACGGTAACAATTAAAAAGAGCTCCTGCAATGTAATTGTAATTAAGTTTTAAAATGCTGTGACGGGAAGAATCTAACCCCAGTAGTTCTGTTATCTGCACTGTGAGTTTACATCTTCATCAGTCCTGTCCGTGTCTTGCTCTCCCTGCACCTCACTCCCGCGCTGTCCTGTTTATGTTGGTAGGAAGTTATCAAGGAGGAGGATGCTGAGGGGCTTCCTTCACCCACAGACTCCTGCAGGGTAATGGAGTCATCTCGTAGTGTGCAGCGCTGGCTTCTCCCTGCTTCTGCAGCAGTAACGACCGTCTTAATTGCCATGGCAGTTCACTAACTCTGCACTTGGGGATGAGCAGCTAGCGTTGAGTAAGCAGGTATTAATCACTTCAGCTCACGAGTGTGTACTACACCTTTACTTCCTCCTGTTTTCCCCTTTCCAGTGGCATGGGATGGGGTCTCTTATTCTGTCGTAAGGAAGGTCTGTCTGCACTAGTCTTTGGGAGTACTCAGTTGATATTTGTTCCTTAGTGCTGAGCTCTGTTTTCACCTTTGACTGTTTGTGTAAAGCCTGTAGTTGGTACTACACACGTGGAGCAGTTTTGAAAGGATCCAGAGTCACCTTTGAGACTGCAGAAAGACATGAGCTAGATGGTATAGCCCAAATGCATCTTTAGTAACTCATTCTTAAACTAAGTATCTGCATTTAGTGAAGTCTTAGTGCAAGTCTTCACACAGTCCTACTTGTGTATCTTTGTTTATTAAGATAAACATTTGAGCTAGTTCAGCATGTAAAGGAAGTTGTTTAAACCTTTTTCCCCTCAACACCTTAAGGTAGGTTTCTTTAAAACAAACAAGCCATAGAGGAAGTCACTTGTATAATGACTTTCAAGACTCATAGTTAATAAGAAATGGTTGTGATGAGCCTTAAATTAGTCAATCAGTGTGAAATTGAAGAACAGAGTTTGTGTTTCAACTATTGTTGTTTTGTATACAGAATGCACACTCCCCTGTAAATGTGATCGGTTTCATCTACAACTACGCTGAAATGTGGCATAGTAGTTAGAGTTGTGAGTGAATTATTGCTTCCTAAGTTTATTCACTAGTTTTAACTTAAAACATGCATTTGGGTAGGCAGTAGTTTCTTTTAACTTTAATTTACTTTGAGTTCATGTTAGTAAGAGAGGAAAAGAGAGCCATTTTGTTATTTTTCTTGAGCAGTTGATGGTTCTTAAGCTATTAACATTTTGGCGAAGTGTTTGTGTGACTTCAGTTATCTGCAAATGGTAGACATAGTAGACCACAGTCATTCTGGTTGGTGCTTAGGAAATCGTCAACCCATGGATCATCACCACTGTATGCAAGATTGACTTTTAGTTTAGTAAGAGCCTTTAATACAGACATTCATGCATGCAGTGCAATTCTCTGATCTAAAAGTCCTTATCAAATTTTTTTAAATGAAAACCAGATCCTGTGAAGAATTTGATGGCCTTAATGACACAGAAGTGCTGAAACAATAGCTATAGTTATTCCATGCTCAAATATGTACACAAACAATTGTAATTAAAAGGTACCTGAGAGCCAAGCATGGTGGTGCACAAGTGAAATCCCAGCACTCAGGAGGGCTGAGGTAGGAGGATTGTGAGATCAAGGCCAGCCCGGGCTGTATAGTAAGATCCAGGCCAGCCTACTATATAGTGAGATCTTGTCTCAAAGAATCAAAAAGTAAATAAATTTAAAAAGTTAAAAGGTGTCCAGTAGTATTTCTTCAGGGACCATGGAAGGGGAGAGCATTAGCAAATTTCAAAATGAGTCTTTTTGTGGAAGGAGGAAGTAATGCAATTCCTGAGATGTGTTTAGAAAACCTATGACAAGGGATGAAGGTACTCCGCCTATATTACTGCCCTTGTTTAGTAAAACAACCATAGTATTTGTTGTTCTTTGAAGACTAAAAGATAGCTTATAATTGGTGTAGTAAATAACAGATGCTTATCTAGTGTCATTTCCTTTTAAGAAATTAGCAATAACAAGAGCATATAAATGTGTTTTGTACAAGACTAGTAAAAGTACGTAGATGTGTAGTTCAAAGCCAGATTGAAAGTGGTGGAAATGTGAGAATACATATGTGGGAATTGGCCCAGTCTAGCTGGGCCAAAGGTACTTATAAAAAATCCTGTAGCCCTTTCTGCTCCTGTGGCTTTCTAGTCTAGTCTGGAACAACAGTAGTGATGACTGACTCCACGTATGCTTGTCAGCTGTCCCCTACACACATTCTTGATGAGAGAGACAGCTTACAGATAAGTTTGCTTGCACAAGCATTTCTGGACAAACTCATGTCATTGCAGATATGTGGAGGAAAAAGACCAGGAAGGGTGAGCGAGCTACGGTTTTTACAAAATATAGGTGAGCCTGCCCTTTTTTACCATGGGGAATTTCTGATAAGCCTTTGTAAAGCTGAACTTTATGAAAATAATTATACTTTCTCCCATTACCATTATAGGGATTATAGTTTGTGAATTCCAGCCAAGGATTATTAGATGAATTGTACCCAAACTGGTTCACAAAGCAGAG